AGTTTACAGGTATATTTATGTGAATGCGGGCGAGCCGGTAGACCAGAAAAGCTGCTTGATGTTTCTTAAGTAAATGGAACCCTGTAAACTCGAGGACATGATTATGTTACTTGGATGCTGTTTACATAGTTTTTTGATTCGGTACAGCATCTATCATTACAAGTAATCCGAATCGACGCCGGATCAAACTACATGTGTCTTTCGTTTAACTTTGCCAGTTTTCAGTTGCTAAAAACATATTCTTCCCAAGTACATGAAAAATGAGCACCACTGTATGACGTCTGAGATTCCGAATCGATATTTTCTTGGACAAATGACTCCACAGGTTTTCCGAAGTGATTTCCTGAAGCCCGTAGTGAGCTTGGTCATTTTGGAACTCAGCAGGCATTGGCAGCCCTAAAGTTATCGATAGCATCATTTTAAAGGCACACCTCAAATTTTGTGGAACTGGTAAAAATAATATTTGCAAATATAGCTCAGTTCAGAAGGTTTTTGAAATAAACCAAAGGATAAATTTCATCAACGTCATCCTAATTCGCCAGTGTGTGGTTGGGTTAGAAATTATATTCGATTATCCCATAGAAAGTGCCCGGAATTTGGCTTTGAGTTTTCAGTGAACCTAGAGAGTTGTTTTACTCTTATTTTCTTATAAGTTGGATGGATACCAAATTCTCCTCCGTTATTGATCAAGCATGGCGCCGCTGGTGTCGTATTCAGTCAAAATGATGGAAGAGCTCAAATGAACCAGTGCGCAGCAGTTGCTGTCTGCGCACCCCCAGTTGGTGACATTAGTCACCTAGCCATTTTGGTGATCCGTTTACCGGTCAATGGAACCAACTCAGCGTCAATCACCTAATAAATTTCAACATCCTGGTTTAACTCGGGTGTAGACAAATTCATCTAATAAATCTAGCCAGTGTAGTTGAAATTCAATAGATTTCGTCAACTGTTTCGCCAATACTGGCCATCAATTCGACGGAGCTTAGGTTAAATTTGATCAACTATCGCGAAAGTTGTTAAATGATTGGCGGTGTTTTTGGAGGCCATACGCGAGTTTTGTGGGTCTTAAATGTCTTCCAATCCTGAACAAAATCCGTGCCTCATCGTCTAAAACCAGTGATTACACTCTTGATTCTTGTGAGCCAGAAAACGCAAACAAGCAACAATAGTCAATAGATTTTATTTAATAATCACCCGCAACTGCCCACAAATTACGCGTCTGGTTCCCCACCAGTTGTATAAGGTGAACATAACGATATCATCGTACTGGAATCCAAAAGAAAATTGGATCGAAAAAGTCTCCAAAATAACGCATATGGATAAGCCTACCCGTGTAAAATATCAATTATGGAATGTTCATTCCTGCAACATAATCGTTGCATTTAGGAGACATCTTGGCACATGAGAGTCAGGAATCTGCATACTACTAAATTTGGCAAAGCTACGCGATTCAGATTCAGTTCACCTGCACATTTGAACTGGAGCAAACCCAGAGATTTTCTTTAACAAGATAACCAGGCTTTTGAAAAACGCGGGAAGCCACCGCAGGCATCCCTGCAGAACGGCCGACAGTCGTTTTTCATTTTAGCCACAAATTTACTTTTATAGGTCTTTGGTGGAGTTGCACAGCCGCATGTGAAAAACACTAATTCATATCTGGCCGTGAAAGTGGTTGCCAGAAAACGAAAGCTCGTAATTCTTTGGGAACGAAAAACAAGAGCGCGCTTTCAAAATTCGATCGTTTTAAGTGGTTTAGAAAATCTTATACGAAAGATATGCCTGTGACTTTCAAAAATCTAAACACAAATCCTCATAATCAGGATTTGGGTTCTTCAGGTACCTGTATGCTCTCGCGGCCTTAACGTTCGTGTCGAGGAATATGTTTGCTAGCTAGTATAGGATTTCATCTGTTCTTAACAACTTGAAATGTTTCAACTTTCAAGACAGTGTGCACTGGAGGCAGAAGCATTTGAAATATTTTCTCAATCGTATGCATTAAGCGTGGTTTGGCGTTTTCAGATCGCCAGCAAACTGTGTAAATTTCATGAGAATGCCGCTGCTTCGTTGAACAGGAGCTTTCAAACGTACATCCACCGGAGACATGGACTGGAACAAAGCATCGTATGTCACCTGGAACCACGCGAACGCTTAATTTCATGGCCAAATAATTGTGGAGTAGTAGAAATAAGTGTTGTTCAGAACCACGCTGCAAAATGCAGAAATTTATTAAACGGATGCTTCTGTATTCATCCTTGGGGACACTCGGAAGCACAGAATTTATCACAATTCGCTAAAACATTTTGACTTACGCTGTCGGAAGCAATCCGTACGTTAAAAGACTCCTCATGAACTTCAGAAGCTTTGAACATTTTCATCTTCTTTCCGAAGCCGAACCATAACTTTCCGTAATAATTGTAGCCAGTGAATCCACCTAGAGTATCGTAATCGCCATCTACAATTGATTGTCAAAGAATAAGCACACCTTGTTCAACAGCTTACCCGGTCTTGTTAAGGTCAAATCAAACTAGAAAAAACGAAAAAGGTTCACTGCCCAAAGCAATGCGGATCCACCGCATTTGGCACACTGGCCATGTCCGTTCCGTATTTGAGTTCACGGGCGCGGGTTGATAGTATTTCGGGGGGAGAAATTGGAATAGCGAGGTTTAATGAATTTAATGTTCAAATGAAAGTACGCCTTCAAGCCATAGTAAATTTTTTCATACGTTTAGGCTTTCAGACAAGAGTTAGCGACCCACAAATCAGAAAAATTTTTTATGAGGTACACGAATTAGCACCAAACCGAACCAACTGCATGTTGTTTAGTCAGAAGAAAATGTCGTGTCGAAGAATAAGTGGATGTAATTCAAGGACAGGGCGCTTATCTTATACCTAATTGCAGCGCCCCGATAAAGAGGCGCATACAAGTCTTATGATGCAACGTATCACAGATAAGTGGCGCTCGTGAAAATTTAACACAAACATTCATTTCCAATATCACCGCACATTGGTGGTGATATCTTGATCTACCTACTTCTGGTCACTAACTTAGAATATACAGCATGTGAGCAATAGAGATGTAGAAGGAACGTTTCATTGGGACATAGAACATTCACGCAACTGTTTCAAAACTGTCCTAACGGAAAGGCGGTCGCTCTGAGTTACCGCAAGTCATTGCAATTAAAGCACGTTGTACTGTCTAATTTACTGATAGCACACGAACCATATGATAAAATACCATCACCCAATAGATTGTGCTTTACTTCAATCTAAAAATTCACACCATTTACAAAAACAGCAACTCACCTGTGGTGAACTTCATTTTCAGACTTATCCTTTGGCCCTTTCTCAACGTGCATGGTTCTGCTGAACATTCGCTAATAGTGAGCTCTTTGAGCGATCCGTATTGCGCTAAATTAAACCAAAATTCAGTGACTGGTTCAAATTCAATGACCTACCATTACCTAATAAGTATGTTTGTATTGACAAGATAATTGGCAGTTTCAATAAAGATTGCGAGTGAACCCAAACCTTGCCGAAAAGCTGGGGCGTCCTCTACAAGGGTTGTGTGCTTCTCACGTTTAATCCTCACAGCAGTGCTTCTCCCAAAATGCCTGTGAACTGTGACGGAAGGTCAAAAACCCTAACTTCCCGGCAAGTAGTCTGAACATGCACTACTAAAAAGGATTCTGGACAATTTCGGTGCGTTCCACTGTGTTTCGCTATACATATACGAAAGACAATCCTAGGACATTTGGGTCAAATATAACTTTCTCAGAATCAATGAAATTGGGTGTGTTATCAAGGTACACTCATATTTTGAATGACGAGAACCGACGTGTCCCCTACGATTTCGGTTGAATTTTAGTACTCCCATGCCCCAGGGATTTAACGCAACAGCGACTGGTTAGAAAGCAGCAGAAATCAGAAGGGAAACGTGTTAATTTGAAGATTTCGAGCAAACACTAGAAAGTTTCCTCGAATGTTGGCATAGGCAATCGGATCACGATTACGGTAACCCCAGCAACATCGTGCCTGTGGTATAAAACTTGCTAAACTACGAATTGTACAGTGTGGGATTTATTCAAATCCTACTAATGGGTGATCAGACTGATGTGGGTCTTCACAAGCGCGCACTGACGAGTCGTCTCGATTGGGTAAAAAAGGATGGCAGACCAATTGGCAAACTTGGCAAACGAAACAACGACCACTTGGTCAAAAACCCGGCTTATAGCCTGACGTTCTTGTCCGAACACCAAGAAAAGTGTATTTTTGCATTACCCACAAAACGTGGGTACAATCGTCTAGTTGAATAGTGAAATATCATACAAATAAGTCAGGCCGGCCAATTCTTCTTTACATGAGAATTTGAATCTTGATGTGGATATTTTCAGCCTCCTTGTCACCCTAAGACTTCCGGTATCACACCGCATTCACAGAAAAATGGCTATGATCTCTGGCTCCCGAGTGGGCGACCCAACAATAGCAACTTTGGTATGGCAGTTAGCATGACAAAAAACGCTGGGCGGAGACGAGGTAACAATCCAAAATGTTGAATTCTTACTGTAAAACGAGAAAGCGAACCTTCGCTAACAAATGTAGGCAACCAAATGATTTATGTGTTCGGTTACGCAGACGTAC